GAACACGGCAGTGTGAATTCTGGTGCATATTGTTACACATAATACGCCCGTCATGCTCATGGCATGAACTCGAATTATGTCAATCTGATCAAGAAATTGAACACCGGTTGCATGACTGATATGAAACTGTTGAATGAATCATAAATCATAAATGCTTCAAGGTTATATCATCCCGTTAGCGCTGTTCGCCACGGCTTTGGAGTCATTCGTCCAACGACTCAACTGGTGCAAAGGCCTCAGTATCGATGGACAGCAGTTAACTCACTTATTTGCGGACGACTGCCTTACGATCCTCTTCCTACAAAACACGATAGAACTCTGACATAAGTTTCAAGAAGAGCGTCTCATAATCAACTTCAGGGCGAACACTGTGGGGTCTCTCAAAGCGAATGGTGAAGTACTCAAGGTCCCCAGCTCTGCATACCCCCGGGACGTCAGGTGAACTGCATGGACTTGATAGATGGAAAAATCAACAGCACAAGGTAGGTGATATTGGCCAGCATAACCTTATTATATGATCGCTACTCGATAGTAAGCAGTTCAACTCAACTCTTTGCTCAGTCGAGCGAAGAAAGAACTGCTCGATTCAACCATACTACTTACTGTGGTCTACAGCGCTGAATGTTGGTTAGTTACTAAAGCCGAGGGAAGAAAATTGATTTTCATACAAAGAGTGATGGAGCAAAAAATGTGCAAGGTCTTCCTCACGGATCACCTCCCGAGTGCAAAAATTGGACAACGGACAAAATGAACAGAAGTAATTTCTGCCCTCTACGACGCCGAGCGAAGATTGGCCAGTCATGCGGCTCACCTGAGAAACAGCGGATGGACGTCGAGATTCCCAACTGGGTTCTAGAGTCGGTCGCTCAGAGACATGCTGGGATGATCCACTGGTCAAATTACCTGGTCAGCAGTGGAGCCAGAAAGCGGAACACAGAGAATTTTGAAGGAGCGTTCACACAAGTTCACAGTGCATCCGTAATGAAGACAAATCGGATGGCGGATAACGGATTATATGATATAATTGATGCTTATTTCCTTCAGAGCCGGATTTCAACGACGTATTGCAGCCAACTGAGAAGTTGATGACCAAATCAGTAATCTGCTATCAGGGCGTTTAAGAGCATGATGCCTAACATGGCTCTGAGCTGGTCTTTCAAAGCTTGCCAGACTTACGACGATACACTTTCGAAACGTAGCCCCGTGCAAAATGTCTTGACCCAGTTAATGACTAACTTAATGAGTAATATTTTTAATCCATGAATTAAAGGGATGATTCATAAATTTTAAAGGTCCATAAAAACAATGAATGAGCACAACATGACATACCTATCCGCCAGGTGACTTCTGTTCCGGGGAAGAGCGCCGTTGTCGGTTCGTAAGCATACGAATCCCAGCGACTGTCAACCACGAGGACGGCGTCGAAGCGCGATAATCCAACGTACACCGAATGCCACTCCATGTCATTCAAAGGTGCGTCCGATGACTTGACCAACTCAGACACGGCGCCATCGCAGTACGTTTCCAACGTGGCGAAACGCTCATCTGTTCGGAGGATGGCAGGTGAAGGAGGCAAAGCATGAGGTGTCTTACCTTTGACGAGTAGCTGGACGAAGCAAAGATCGTCGAATCGACCGGTCAACAGAACGAATGATTTTTCGTACGTTCTGAACTGAAGAAAAGCCTCTGTTTTGATACCGGTGAATGGCAGCAACAACTCGATATATTTTTCTTTTCCAACAAACGTAAACTCATCGTAGATATCTTAAAGCTCCAGAGGTTAATAATTGATATGAGAATAATACACATTAAGCGACGTCTTCCGACCTCGTGTCGGTTTAATTCATCTTTCTCGGTTTTGGGACAAATCGTAACCGTTTCAGTTCAACTTTAAATGTCTTCAGTTTGGAGCTACATCCTTAACGCTTTCTTCATTAGCGGATACGCCTTTAAAACCTGATTTACAGCGCATGGGGCAGTTTCCTCGCTTGTAGATGCATAAGGGACAATTTTAATTGACTACGATTCCTAGGAGTTGAACACCTGCAATGCATATTGCATCATTTTATTGGCGAAGCAATACCGTAATCTTCACCAA